CGGTCTTGTGCTGATCACATGCAGCCTTCCAAGAAAAAAAAACTTCTCTAGCAATACACACCAAACTGAGCATGTGCACATGACTGCTGATTCAGTCTGTATCAGGTGGACATTTTAACAAGAGGAGGGGCAGAGAAGAAAGGATCAAACAGCCTTTTTACAAAATGCAGATGATTAACCCCTTAGGTTCCACAGTGAGTATAACAAGCATGCTTTACTGCATATACAGACTGATTTTACTGCTGTGGGTTTAGTAACACTTTAAGCTTTGACATAAAAAAAAATGGAAGCTGATTGGTTTCTCTGCAGAGCTGCACCACATTTTGCACCCTCCAGTTTTAGTAAATCAACCCTAAAGTATTATTTTGATATGTTGTAACTATGCATTGGGGGTTATGTACTAAAACCGGAGAGTGCAAAATCTGGTGCAGCTCTGCATAGTAACCAATCAGCTTCCAGGGTTTATTGCCAAAGCTCAATTGAGCTAACTGAATTTAGAAGCTGATTGACTGCCATGCAGAGCTGCACCTGATTCTATGTGTACCAGTTTTATTAAATCTCACTCAATGAGTGCTTGCTGTTCTTTTTTTCCCTTAAAAAGCTTTTTTGTTATTTTTACCCCCGGTTCACATATATGCGGGCCACGTTTTGCGCGGGCACGAGAGACCATTAATTTTAATGGATTCCCGTGCCCCGTGACACTCAGGGAAGAAGTCCCTGCACTTCTTCTGAAAACACATCCCGCATGGGAACCTCAATTCTCAGTGCCTTTTCCAGTGCTGGCGGTGTGCCATTAGAAGTAATGGCATCCACCCACGGGTCCGTATTCCTCTGTGCTGGTGGTGCGGCTGCATGGATTTTCGTGCGAGTCTGCAGCCATGCCACCCGCATATATGTGAACCTAGCCTTAGAGTGTTTAGCATATTGTGAGCAGTGTAGGGATATTTTATATTTTTATATATCTTTAATATTATTTTAAAAAAAAAAAACACCTTTACAATCACTTTAAAGTATTAAAACTGATTGAAAACACGAAAAAAAAAACCTACAAACAAAAAATATATCAGTGTCATAAAATACAAATATGTTAGTAACTAGTAAAAATATAATTGTTATCAAGCAAAATCATTAAATATGTTATGCTTGTAGCATGTAAATAATGTGATTGGATATGCAATTATTAATTTTAGACACAGGTAGGTCTGTCCATCTATCTTTGTCAGTCCTATTTATTTCAATCCCTGCTATAAATATTAATACAAATCTATTGTTAAACATTGCCACCTAGTGACAAAGGGAATAGCTGCTTGTAATTTGCTGACAGGCCGCACACAGAAAGCAAAAACCGTTTACTTCACAGTGTGGCTTTAAGACTCTCGTGTGACAATTATAACAAATGAACATATGGGAAATTATAATGAGCACCATAATTCAATGCTCCTTGAAAAATGTCATTGGATATCCAGGGCTTAAGTCCACATGTAAAGGTTTACTGTATATTCCATTATAATTACCTACACTCTGCAAGAAATGTCCCCTACTATACATATCATGCTCACAGTTCATTGCAAGATACTAAATGATCTCGGTAAAGGAGAAGCTGTTTTTTCTTTTTTGTATAGATCACCATTACAGTATAATAGCAGTGCTGAAAAGCAGATTTTATTTTACTGCTTGTCAATGATAATTCAATTGGTAACCTGAAATCTGAAATCCTTAAATTACTTTGCAGTTGGTTTGTAGTTAAAGTTTCAGGTTCATAAAAAAAACTAAATTTGTAAACTAAAATATCACTTTATTGAAATGTAGTCAAATGTATCACTTATGATAAGCTGTGTATGTACTGTATGGGTATATAAAAAATAGGGGTTTAGAGGGCCATATTCATACTGTATGTGTCTGATTCAGCAGCCATTCACTAGCATGTGGAAGCATATGCCAGTATAGATTTGAGGCATATATTCTCATTTCCAAGAGGTTTCATAAAGTGTTATACATAAGTGTATGTGACAGCAAGCAAGTGAGAACATATGCAGTGAGACTACAAAAGAACCAATCATGAATCACTATTAAAATTAATTGATCACCCATTGAAAATGTCATGAATGTAATATTGGGTGTAATATAAATAGAGCAGATTTTGCTGAGACCATGAGGCATATTCACCACATGTGGTGGGACTGCGTTTGGCGGCTATTCCACCACTGCCCAGTTCACATCACTGCATTGTGATGGTGTGCAGTGAAAAACAAAACTGCATGCACTATTTTTTTCAGAGCAGCACATTGCAAAGAAATCCACTGCCTCACACCCCGCAGGCAGCAATTACATTTTATGAGATGTCTGCATGACATCTCAATAAAGTCTGTTTCAAAAGAAGGAAATCATCACTGCTCTGATCTCGGCTGGACTGCACTGCACACCTGGTATGAACATATTCTAATTCCCCACTGAAGAATAGGTACTAGTTGTTGGCTTACCCTAGCATTTTCCGCAGTGTTTTTGTTTTGCAGAAACGTAGTACAGTCCATCTAACATGATTTCCTATGGGACAGGTTTATATCTCTGCGTTTTCACCCGATGTGTTTTCTGGAAAGGGTCAAGGACTTTTTTCAAATAAAAAATTTACGTTTTTGTTTCTATAGACTTCAATGGAAATGCTGCAGAAAAGCATGTAGTGCATTATTTATGGGTTTTTTTTTTATACGTTTTGCATTTTAAATCTGCCTAGCAACAAGAAAAAAAAAGGCATGTGCAAAAACACAAAACGCACTGCAGAATCAGATCAAACGCAAACTACATAGTTGTGAACCGAGTTACATAGTTAGTCTGGCTGAAAAATTACAAAAGTCTATCCTGTTCAACCAAAAAAAAAAAGTTATAATCCTATACCCACAGTTGATCCAGAGGAAGGCAAAAAAAGATCAGCAAAAAAAAAAAAAAACCAGCAAAGCATGATCCAATTTGCTCTTGCAGGGAAATAACTTCCTTCCTGATCCCCTGAGAGGCAATCGGATATTCCCTGGATCAAATTTACCTATAAATGTTAGTGTCTGGTTATATTCTGTGTATCTAAGAAAGAATCCAGGTCTATTTTAAAGCAATCCACTGAGCTGGCCAGAACCAACTCTTGAGGGAGTCTATTCCACATTTTCACAGCTCTCACAGTGAAGAAACCTTTCTGTATTTGGAGAATAAATTTCTTTTCCTCCAGATGTAAGGAATGCCCCCTTGTCCTCTGTGATGACCTCAGGGTGAATAGCTCTACACCGAGTTCACTATATGAACCACTGATGTATTTATACATGTTGATCATATCCCCCCTTAATCTCCTCTTCTCAAGAGAGAATAAATTCAGTTCCTCTAATCTTTCCTCATAGCTGATCTCCTCCATGCCTCATATCAGTTTGGTTTCCCTTCTCTGTACTTTCTCCAGTTCTCCAATATTCTTTTTGTGAATTGGTGCCCAAAACTGAACTGCATATTCCAGATGAGGTCTTACTAATGATTTGTGCAGGGTTAATATGATATCTCTCTCTCTGGAGTCTATACCTTTTTTTTATACAAGAGAGGATTTTGCTTGCTTTAGAAACCGCAGCTTGGCATTGCATGCCATTATTAAGCTTGTGATCTACCAGAACTCCCAGATCCTTCTCCACCATTGATTCCCCCAGTTGAACCTAGCCTTAATGAGAATGAGTATGCCTCAGCTCAGCAAACACATGGGTGAATATGAGTGAGAAGATCCTTTATGTGCTTCAAGCATATCTAAACCAAGAAAAATGATGTTATGTATGACAGCTTACCAGTCATATAGTGGCTGCATTAGTTTTCTTTATTTAAGCTTTGTTTCCTTTACTTTCACCTGGTGATCCTGCCAGTAACACACTTCCTATCTTAGAGTGATAACACTCATTTACTGTACTGTATCTAAGGAGAAGTAAAATTTTCACCCTAGAACAGAAAGTGTGTTAGGACTACCAAAAAAGTCCTCCTCTCCTCATCTCCATGACATAAGGGAAAGTGGTCTGTATTCCACCAAGATACATTAGTTAGGGCTAATAACATTGTTTCAGATCTCAGTGCAGCATTTTCAGTACAAAACAGAAGTTATGAACTCACAAGATTTCTAGCAGAGTGAACTGCAGGATTTTTTTTTTGTTTTACTTATTGAACAGATATAACAAAATACTTTTAATGGTATATTTTATGGACTGAAAGGGAGCAAATAAGTGATGTTAATAGTTAGGGTTTGCTAACACTATAATCTTTCATCTAAAATTTGTACTTTATCAATGTACCCCTATAAAACAAATTTCTGTAGAATGGTCAATGAAAATTCCTCTAGTTGGCCACTGGCCAGTAAGGCTTTAGTAATGCCAGGTCATTTATTTAAAGGGCAAGCAGCTAGGGGACTAGGTAACAGTTGCCAGTCTTCATGAATACGCATGCCTGTTCACATATAATGTGGTGGTGGCCAGTGTTGTTCAGCACTGGAAGAACATCAGTCACCAATAGGGACACACAAAGGGCAAATTGTTTTCTATGTGCCTTGTTCGCACTGCAATTCAGCCTGGAGTTGCAGCACTGTGAGATGTGATAAAATGTTGACGCTGCATTTTATCACACAGGAAGGTCAAGCATGTCATTGTACAGCTCCATAACTATCCACGGCCAGAACGGAGGCAGAACAGACAGCTGCTCACACAATAAACCCCTGCAGTTTAGTGTGTGGGCAATGTGAACCTTTTGCCTGCTGACCATAGCAGATGTACTGCAACAGGGCGGCTTCGCTGGGTGAAATCATGTATATATATATGATTTGGCATTTCTGGGTAGGGGGTGCACACCCTACCCGCACTGCTACTTGCTACTGAGGATGTCAATCACCGGGTCCCAGACGATGATCATCAGCAAAGTTGAGAGGGGAGAGATCTGTGTGTAAATGACACAGATCTCTCCTGTCAGCATGAACGTGCTGCTTTCCATTTCTCTATCACTCCCTAACACACAGTTAACCCTTTGATCTCCCAGATGTTAACCCCTTCCTGCCCAGGGTCATTAATACAGTGTCAGTGCTTTTTATTAGCACTGATCACTGTATTAGTGTCAGTGGAGATGTCAGTGGCAATTAGTCAGTTCCCACCCAGTGTCAGAATGCCCAGTTGTAACTGAAACAAGTATCCTCTTCCTATTTCTGTCCTAATGACAAGGCAAAATTTTTAATTTTCTTTCAGTTTCAATATTTGCTAGGAGAATTAGGAGGAGTAATAGACAGGTAGAGAAACCTTATATAGTTGTCAGGTTGTGGAGTGTTGGATTACTTCATATCCTGTTTTTTATCATAAGTATTATGATAACCAGAAGTTGGTAGGTAGCTCTACTAGTCCTAGAACCCTTATATCCTCTTGTGGTTCATATAAAAGGATAGATATAGGGTAAAGAGCTTGATTCCACCCCAGACTCAAGCTGGAGTAGCCATTGCAAAGACACTCTACACTCATGTATTTGCCTTCTTAAAGGAGAAGTACAGCCAAAGCTCTTTTGGTTGTACTTCTCCTGTAGATCACAGGAATGCAGTTTGTTCTGCACTCCTGTCACCCATTTTCAGCTGATAGCAGACTGAAGTGTGCTGTCAGCTGACATCACCCAGCCATTACAGGCTGGGGAAAGATCCCGACTTTAAAGTCGGGATCCACCCCAGAGTCTGGATCGGTACCTGCTTCAGCCTCTCAGTGAGCCGCTGAGAGCTTAAGACAGCCAATCCCTCCCCCTCCACAGCCCAGCACTTCAGTGAGTGCTGGGGGGGGCAGAGCAGACAGCGGTGATTGACAGTCAACTTCAGTCTGCTCAGAGCGGCTGTGAGAACTCAAGGATCAAAGGTCATGTTATTGCTGAGTTCTCACCCTTAGAGCTGGCAGGAGACATATGCTACTTCTCTTTTAACCACTTCAAGCTATTTTTATCATGTTTCTGAATATATGTTAAAATATATTTTTTCCGACAGCAGAGGCACTGTGGTTGCCTTTTTTTTTTGTATTTCCTATATTTGTGCAACTGTTTATCAAGTCTATGTTTTCAATACAGAATACATTATTATGAATTTTAGTGCTCAGAAACACAACATTATACTTTTCAAGTAAGGATGTATGTGATACTCCCCAAATTCTGAAGTGATTAACTTTTGTCTCCAGTCCAGACTCCAAACTTCTGTTCTAATCTAGTTCTGTTCTATTCAGCCCTGTTGGCTTATCTTTCTGACTACAATAAAATGTCTTTTATACATATTTTCACAAGTAGAATGGAACTCCTTTACAAGAATAAAAACCTTGAGAAGGAACCCAACTGCTCTTTTTGGCTTTAGATAGCTTTTAATCCTTCCCTTCGGCTAGCCCTGATGTCCCTTTAATAGGGTCTGTACACCCGGGGAGGCAGGAAGGATAGATGATCATATGAGCACTGTGATTGGATGTCACCATGGTTACATAATCAGGAGCCAGTGCCACCATCTAATGATCGTTAGTGGGGACCAAAAGTTGTTTTTGACAATTTGGAGAGTACAGTAAGTATGCTCTCAGCAAAGAAACATTGGCTGCCCAGTGACATACATGTGCAGCATGTGGAAGTTAAAGAACACCTTTTTTGCCACCGCCCATGTGTTACATGGGCAGCAACAGGTTAAAACGGCAGTAAATCTTGCAAGAAAAAAAAACTGGTCCCTCTGCAGGCTCATGTCATAATGTGCTGGTATGCACTGCATACCAGCACATTATGAAACAGACTTACCTAAAAAAATTGATCCTTTCAGCAGAGTGCCGTCACTCCCTCTGAGAGGGATTTGTCTTATTGCGGTCTTCCTGAATTTGAAGACTCTGGCCATCTGAATGAGTGAGCCACAATGACGTCACTTCCACGCACATGCACGGGATTCATGGCTGCTGCACAGCTCTCTCATTGGATGGCAGGCCATCCATTGATAGCACAGTGCACATGAGCCACTGACCTGACCGGCTACTACACATATATATAAATCATATCTATTAACATCATACCTGGTGATCAGTTGAAGAGCTTGCAAGTAATACATCTTTACTTCTTTGCTAATATTATTACTCAGCTTTCACATTCTTAGTCATTCTCAAACACACACACACCAGAGACATAGTTACCACAAGGCACTTGCCTAGGGCAGCATTTTTCAGGGAAGCAGCACCTCCCCCCAGAAGAAGGAATGAAAGAAGGGATACGTGCACCATGGGAACCAGGTGAGATCCGAGAGAGGCTGCAGGCTGTTTGATGGAGTATGTAGAGCCAGACTCTCATTCCCAAGGATGTCCAGAGCTGTGAAGATGAGTGTCTTTTTCTCTATCGCGGGGGGGAGTACTGGAAGGCTCTCCCAGGTGGGGGGCAGGGGTGTTGTTGGTCAATGTTAGGCTTTCATCGCGGGAGGGGGAAGGGGGGGGTGTTGGTCAATGTCCGTGGGGGCAGACGACTTTTGTGTAGCCTAGGGCAGCACAAAACCTAAATACACCACTGACACACACACTATATATATACAATATATACACTATATTGCCAAAAGTACTGGGACGCCTGTCTTTACACGCACATGAACTGGCATCCCAGTCTTAGTCCATAGGGTTCAATATTGAGTTGGCGCACCCTTTGCAGCTATAACAGCTTCAACTCTTCTGGGAAAGTTGTCTACAAGGTTTCGGTGTGTGTCTATGGGAATGTTTGACCATTCTTCCAGAAATGCATTTGTGAGGTCAGGCACTGATGTCAGACGAGAAGGCCTGGCTCGCCATTAAAATTCATGTGCATGTAAAGGCAGGTGTCCCAATACTTTTGGCATTACAGTGTGTGTGTGTATATATATGTACATCCAAATTGGAGGAAGGGTTTAGGAATTACAGTTCTTAAGAGCAGCCATCCCCCATTTTTCAACAGACCAAAAGTAATTGGACAATTGAATCAAAAGCTGTTTCATGGCCAGGTGTGGGCTACTCCTTTGTTATTTCTTCATAAATTAAGCAGGTAAAAGATCTGGAGTTGATTCTAACACCCCGGTCACATCAAGCCCGAATTTGAAATTGAGCGACTTACAGTGAAGTAGCACAATTTCAAAGTCGGGGGACATGCCGATTTCAGGTGTGATTTGCAAGACATCTGACACAGATGTATATGCAAATCACATGAAAAGTAGTGCATGTACTACTTTAGAAAGCCGTGCAGCTCCTACCAAGTCGGAACTGCACTGATTTGACCAGTGTAATTGCGGACAATAGGGTGCGACTTGGCATACAATTTGCAAGTCACATGGCATGCAAATCACATGCCAAGGCACACCCAGTGCGACTGGGGTATAAGTGGGGTATTTGCATTTGGAATCTATTGCTGTGAACCTACATCATGCGTTCAAAGAAGCTGTCCATGCAAGTGAAACAAGCCATTGTAAGGGTTCAAAAACAAAACAAATCCATCAGAGAGATAGCAGCAACATTAGGAGTGGCCAAATCAACAATTTGGTACATTCTGAGGAAAGAAGCACGCATTGGTGAGCTCAGCAACATAAAAAGGCATGGATGTCCACTGAAGACAACAGTGGTGGACGATCGCAGGATCCTCTCTATGGTAAAGAAAAACCCATTCACAACATCCAGACAAGTGAAGGACACTCTCCAGGAGGTGGGGGTATTATTGTCAAAGTCTACAATCAAGACAAGACTTCACGAGAGCTAATACAGAGGGTTCACCACAAGGTGCAAACCATTCATAAGCCTGAAAAATAGAAAAGCCAGATTAGACTTTGCCAAAAAACATCTAAAAAAGCCAGACCAGTACTAGAAAAGCATTCTTTGGACAGATAAAACTAAGATAAATCTGTACCAGAATAATAGGAAGAAAAAAGTGTGGAGAAGGCTTGGAACAGCTCATGATCCAAAGCACACAACGTCATCTGTAAAACATGGTGGAGGCAGTGTGATGGCATGGGCATGCATGGCTTCCAGTGGCACTGGGTCATTGGGGTTTATTGATGATGAGAGAGAAGACAGAAGCAGCCACATGAATCCTGCAGTGTTTACAGATATACTGTCAGCCCAGATTCAGCCAAATGCAGCAAAGTTGATTGGACGGCACTTCACAGTACAGATGGACAATAATCCAAAACACGATGCAAAAGCAACCAAGGAGCTTTCGAAGGAAAAGAAGTGGAATATTCTGCAATTGCTGAGTCAATCACCTGATCTCATCCCAACTTAACATGCATTTCACTTTCTGAAGGCAAAACTAAAGGCAGAAAGACCCACAAATTAAGAACAACTGAAGACAGCTGCAGTTAGAGCCTGGCAAAGCATCAAAAAGGAGGAAACCCAGTCTCTGGTAATGTCCATGGGTTCCAGACTTCAGGCAGTCATTGTCAGTAAAAGATTCTCAACAAAATATTAAAAATGAACATTTTATTTATGATTAAATTAATTTGTCCAATTATATTTGAGCCCCTGTAAATGGAGGAACTTTGTATAAAAATGATTGCAGTTCCTAAAATTTGCACTTGATATTCACATTCAACCCCTCGAATTAAAGCTTAAAGTCTGCACTTCAAATTCATTTGGATTGTTTCGTTTTAATTTATTCTGGTGGCATACAGAGCCAAAAATGGAAATTTTTTCTGTGTCCAAATGTATATGGACCTAATTTGTGTATATATATATATATATATACATATATATACACTGTATATATATACAGGGGCGGACTGACAACTCATGGGGCCCCTGGGTAATAGGGGATCATGGGGACCCTGTGTCCTCGTCTATACTCAAAAAAGCCTATGAAAAAGCCAATGAAAGGTACCACGGGCATCTCATGGGGCCCCCTACTGACCCCAGGCCCTCGGGCAGTGCCCGAGTGCTTGAATGGCCAGCCCGCCCCTGTATATATATATATATATTCTATAATGATATGGACTGGGTAATGTGTTAGGAATGTAAGGATGCCCCATCATTTGATGGAAATGAAATTTATCAACCTACAGAGGATTGAATTCAAACACACCCCGAAAATCAAAGTGAAAAAATTATGCAGCAGGCTAATCCATTTTGCTGAAATTTCATTGCAGCAACACAGAATGGTACTCAGTAGTTTGTATGGCCCCC